GAACATACACTTATACGAACTTTTTTACTTATTTTTATCTGCAGAATATGATGTGGAAGTTTCCGGAATACAATTCGGACCACCCTGTATAGTTAAGTACAATAATTTTTAAAATTCATTGTGTGTTTTTATAGTTAGACATAGATAAAATATTGTACAATACACACGCGTATCTTAATAATGCTGTTAACTCACTTGTATCGTAAATATCTATTATTTGATTGAAAAAGACACTCTTGAATAGAATGACATAATATATATCAACTTTTGACATTTTCGTATATGGTTTAATTGGAAATTGTAACATGCAGTTCATAACGACAAATTGACTCAAAATACCAAGTGTGTGGTATCAAATTATTCGTAAAAAATGCTGTTAATATGTCAATGAGACACCCTCGTTCCATTTGAAAAATACGATTTGGGCAGCTTTTGACTGGCCAGGATAAGACACGAAAAACAATAGACGATCAAATCTATTTTTCCAAGGTGTTTCCACCATGGCCGTGTTAAAAACACAAAAAATCGGTGTTTTGAACACAGCCATGACAATCTAGTTGAAATTTAAAATACAATTTTTTAAGCGAAGATGTCAAAAGTTTTCATATGATATGTCATTCTATTCAGAGTGAAATTTTCTATCAAATAAAGTAAAAAGATACCGAAGGTGCCATTTAAAAATCAAAAGTTGTAGTCAGTCTTAGAAAATGGTCAAGAATACGCCAATCAATCTTAATTTATGTTATTTACTAGCATACCAAATCTCGTTTTATTATCAGAAAAAATAAAAAAGTTATAGAGGTGTCACTCTTATAGAGGTGAATCACTCTTGAGAAACACTCGGTATATTATTGATCGTGGCCCTAGAAAATAATATCTTCTCTATAAATAAATAATGTAAGAGAGAAAATTCAACCGCACTGTACTATAAAATGCTTCAATAGACCACAAAATTACATTCGCAACTATATCGGAACTCCTAAAAATTCAAAGTCGCAGACAGAAATCACAGTCCCCGTTTACAAAATCACAATCGCAATAAAGTCGCAAATCGTAGCTGTAGTAATACTTGTTGCTTAAAATGAAAATCCCAAATAGAAGAAATCGCAGTTTCCTATGGGAGCCAATCGCAGGTTTCGATTGCGTTTTTTTGCTCATCTCTACCAACACTCGTCTAGGTGGCAAGTTAATTTTTAAAATATGTCTGCCATAAAGAGAGTTTCTGGTTTCTCACCCTATTTCTCAAGTTTCTCGAGAAATTTTGAAATTTTTAATTAAATACGATCTTATTTTTAAATTTTTGCTTTATTACAAATTAGACTTATAGATAAAACCAATTAAATAAAATGGCAAATTATTAGAAACCATAAATTGCACTTAATAATTTACAAATCAACAATAAATTAAACACACTATATGTAAAGAGTAGGGTAGTATTGAGCTATTTAATTAATAAACAGCCTTTAATTGAACAAAACATATTTAGTAAACTGAGTCTATTGCTATATCATTAAAGTTTTAGCTCTACCTCTTTTTAGATTTTATTAGCTTAAAAAGGCTCGATTTCTTTAGCTGTTTTATTTTATAACTCTTTTGTTACTTCATTATGCATGATAGATCTATTTATACTTACTTTTAGCATCATTACATACAGGGGACAATTTGAAAACGAACAGTATTTAATATTACCTCTACCGATGATAGTATGAAAATTTGGCGAAATACGTCAATTTACATATTGTTGCGGACTCGTACCGTGTGAACTCGGCCTTAGGCTTGGCCACTCGGCTATGACTCATACGCCCACCGACGTTCGAAGAACGCCGCTAAGAATTTTCGAGATATGTCTAGATTGTCTGTTTCTCTCATATATAAGCCGATGCCCGAAACCTGAAGGAGATAGAGATAAATAACCGATTGACGCGTACAGTTACAATCGCCGCGCTAATTCAAAATACATTTCTGTTAGATAAATTGTAAATAAGTTATAAATAGTTATTGTTTTTGTTAATTAGTGTTAAATAAATAGTGTTTAAATAAATTGTGACTTTCTATCCACACGGAACCGACGAAAAACGTAACAATATCAAGGGGGACAATTTTTGAGGCATTTGTTGTCGTGTTACTTTCAATCCTTTGACCCCCAGGACACCTACCTCTAAAATTTTAAATGGCAACCCCTATTTCTTTTACCATTTTTGTGTTCCTTATAAAATTCTCAAAAAAATAATGCAGTTCATGTAGGGTTGTAAATTTAAGGTCTTTATAAAACCGTATTGAGAAAAAGGGTGAATATATTCTCCCGGTGCCAAGTGGTCCCAATTTAACTTAATGATTTTGGATTTTTTAAACGTTTAATTACTTTTTATTTTTATTTTTGTTGTTAAATAAACAATATAAAATACGATATTTTGCTATATTGATTTAAAAATATAATTGGCAATTAAGCTATTATATTACGCGACAAGTCGGTCAGATAAGGTAAAATAAATGCTAGAATAAATACGTTGTAAATACAAACTAATACAGTTATTGCGTTATGTACTTTCTAAAAATGCCGTTCGATACCAAAATTTCTTAATGAAAGACAATAATCACAATCCAAAGGTTGGTGAAAATCCACTATAAATTCTTAAAATTAGTATGTTAATAGATAAAATATTAATTTAAAAACAGAAATAATTTCCATGTTATTAACAGCAAAATAAAAATACTAAATCACCACAATACACCAAAACACTTTTACTTTTACATTGGACGCGCGTTTCGCTAACCATGTTAGCATCATCCAAACCAAAGGTTCCAACCCTCAACTGTAATGTTATTAACAGACAAAATATAGATAACACAGATATAGTGATACCTTACAATTATTCCCGTTCCTAAGAAGTTCCCGCTTGCGTAAAAGTTTTCCAATTTTTATACAGAGTGTTTCGATAAAACATCTCCAAAATACTTGAGGGAATTACTAGAGAACTTATATGGAACATGGAAATTTGTTATCAGGAGAACCATTACATTAAAAACATTTACGTCTAACGTAGTGACGTCTAAATTTCAGGTGACTTTTTAGAAAAATATAAATGTTAAAAAATACTAGAACCTCTTCGACAGAGAAGAGGGTGATAAAAAAGAGTTGAAATTCCCGGGGGGGGGGCATAAAACATGCGAATTCAAATGTTAATAGAACATTATTACTCTTGTATTAAAAATTCTACCAGTTTAAATCTTCATCAAAAATAAATTTGAAATATCAGAAGCCAGACAATACCAAACCAAACCATCCATGGTATAAGATGTTGATGGGATATGCCATCAGAATCAGAAGGTGTACAATAAGCAATTTCGTCCAATTCATGGCTTAAAATGTTGATGGGATGTGCGATCAGAATCAGAAGCAACTCAGTACCCCGGTTAGAGGAGGCAACTAGGGGGGGGGGGCAGGGAGGGGCTTAGCCCCCCCCTTATGACCAGTGCGTGTCGTATGAAATTGGTTTTAACCACACATGAATCTTATCTTATAGTGACCTAAGCCCCCCAAAAGACTTGAGCCCCCCTAAAAGTATATGTCTAGTTGCGCCCCTGACCCCGGTTATATAGTACCCCGGTAAATAGTGTAGGGTGTAGACACATTTTAAAACAACAATAGTTTCATATTACAACTAGAGGAAATTATGTAGAGTTAGTTTCCTTAAATTCGAAGGTGTAAATTTGGAGCTCCTAAGCTCTGTCACTTGCCTGCGAACCTTTTAATGACGTACATAAGCTATTCTATGCTACGAACAGGCCTGTTTAAAATAGTCTAGTCCAATTTGAACATATTAAAAATAATACTGATTATTACAAATTTGAGCCTGTAAAAAATTAAAATAGTCATTATGGGGATTATGTTATGCCGGTCCATGGTTACTAACGGTTTCGGATATTAACACATAAAGTGTCGTAGTGCCGTTGTGGGTTTAACTGAACCACCATTTCAGCCAAATCAAATTTGCTAATGGTCGCCATGTCCAAATTTTCGTTTTGGCCGCTGTGGATCGCTTGAATGCACCATCACAACGCAAAATATACAGATATCGTTTTAAAACGATTTTGTCAGTATTTTCTTTGAGTTGGCTTGGTTATTATTTTTAGATGGTACTATAGACCTGTGTGTATAATCCATTTCAAATGGATTATAGACATATTACGTCTTGGCCATTAAGACTCGGAAAATTTCACTTCCATGGTGGCACTTTACGCGTTTTAAGAAATCGTCGAGTCTGTTTTCATATGCAAATTTTATGACTAGTTTCAACATCAAAATCAAATTCTAAACCTAAGCGAATTCTAAAGCTTCATTCGGAACCTCGAAATTAGTGGAATAAATTAGTGGTTCCAATTAGCGTAGAATTTTGCTTCTCTTATTTCAATGTAAACATTCAGAATGTCAAAATTAGCGATAGTAATTTTCAATTAGTAAAAAAAGTTAACAAACTTTTCTGCTAATTACACTGCAAAATTGGCGAGTAATATCGTTTTGACCTTTGATTACCATCCGTCAAGAGAAATTGTGGATAGAAATCAAAAGTTTGAGGTTTATTGTCATATAAGCTAAATATTAGGCTTTCTTTATGGATACAACTTAATTTTAGCATAAAAAACAAAATAAAAGCATAAGCTGAAACCACTAATTTATTCCACACTAATTTCGAGGTTCTTATGCGTGATAGAAAAATACGCAGTGCTAATTTTCAACATACCTCATTTCTGAAAATGTATCTGAAAAAATTCTGAAAATCGACATCTTTTAATTTTTTGTTCTTATTACGCCCTCTAGCGGTCAGATTTGGAATCTGAAAATAATTTATCGCTATTTCTCTTGGCAGATCTACCTACAAAAATTTTTCTTTATCAGTCGACGTCCTCTTTTTATTGGACCACTCTTTACATATACTTACTATTTACTAACTTTTTATAAATAAAACAAAAAAAGAAAACACACATAAATTGTATATAAGTAAATTTATTTACTCAACTTCAGTTATATATGATTGGTGTATAGATGATTGATTTCAGTCAATGTTCATAATAAATTAAAAAAAAACATAATAATAAATAGGTAGGAAGCAGTCTAAATAAATCATCCAATGTGGAAAAACTGTCGTAATTGTTGAGCTTGTACTCCTGTAGTCCCTCTTTCGCTACCAAAATCGGCTTTTCGCTTAATATTTCTATCCATTGCGAGTTTATTTCTTAGACTTCTTTTATCATTGAATATTCCAGATCTATGGCGAAGCAAAAAATATATGTATAGTTTAAAAGTCATTAATATAAATTATTTTATGAAAATGCATATTTTTAATTGTCAACACAGATTTTGTAGATAAAAATGGAGAAAGAGGCAAACTGAAATGCGTTTATTTATTTGGAATTTAATTATAGTGACCATGGGCAAATAATTTGTTCGAACATACTTTGGATAAAAAGTACTATGGAATAGTAAGATGTCAACAGAAGAAAATGGTCTAGTCAAATTAGATGTAAAAAGGCCATTCAGTGAAAAAAAAAACAATAATTTTGAAAACGGTCTTGGTGGAAAAGGGACAGTTCCAGAGAAATGGTTTCTTGCACGGAGGGTCTCATAACATTAATACTGCTGGGTACTGTCAACTCTGTAATTCTTTATGTGGCCCGGGTGAAACAGAACGCAGCGGATCTAAACCAGAAAGTCGATAAATATACCCCAAGCTAAGCTGTTAGACCCCGAGGCAAAAGCTGAATGGTACTAGGGTAAACGGTTCCTCTGGGACAACAGGTGGTGCCCCATTGGATCTAAACCCTACACCCGCATTTCCCTAGCTTCTCGTGGGATCAAAATGGATATATTATTTAACATTAATATATCCTCTATTATAGATACGGGACAACACCGGTATCAGGTCTAAGGAGAGACCAAGTTAAAGAGGTGGAGAAAATGGAGAGCGATCCTCCAGCCTCCACCTCACGGGTTCCTCAGCCGGAGGCAAGCTCCTCGACTGTGAAGGGCGGCACGGAGGGTCAAACTCCAACCGTGGAAGGGTGTGTACCCTCGGAGGAAGAACTGTTGTCAGAGGAGGATCGGAAATACCCTGTCCCCTCTACAAGAGGGCTATGATGGGTTATAGACTGTGTGATGACTCAAGGAAGGGGGGCACAATAGATATTTAGGGGCGAAGTGATTAACCCCCCTCTTACTCATTCTACATTATAAATTTAAATTAAGACCAGAAAGGAATATTTAAGGCCAGAGTAGCCAGAAAAGCTACGAAAAGGTTCCTGAAATCAAAAACTAAGAACTTCTGGAGAAATTCAACAGGCCAAAGGGTCAAGAACTTCAAAAGAACTTTCACAAACTGCAAGGCAATGAACTACTAACACTGTAATAGTAATTGTGATGGAAGACGTGTCGACGTATCTCACTCATGTCACATTTAGAGTTTAAGCTATCTGGCATCCCTAAAGCAAATCAGTAAACTTTTAAACCAAGGCCAAGATTAGATTAGATTAGGTTGTAATTTAAGGTTGAAAAGGCAGATGAAATGACCAAGCAAGGCTTATCAATGCCATTCATAGACCCAGAACCCTTCGCGGCGTTGCAAAGGCAGTCCTGAGAATAGCTACCGAACGAAGGGTGGTTAACTCTAGAATGATGGTGAAACTCCCCAGAGCAGAAACAGGCGAAAAAGTTCATAGTAGAACATTCGCCAAAATTCACGGCAGATCTGATAAGCAAAGACAGAAAGACAGTCAAAGTTGTAGTGTGTCTACTAACAGAGCATTGTAAACTGAATAGGCATTTAAAGCTAATGATTGACTGACGAAGCCATGTGCAGGTTCTGTCAATCAGAAAAAGAAACAACAGAACACATTTTATATCGGTGTGACAGCCTGGCAAATGTGCGGCTCTCGGTAACAGGCAATGGTAAACCATTGCCAGGGAGCTACAGATTCAGTCTCCAAGTTGTTAAACTTTGTGAACAGTGTAGGACCGGAGAAGGTAACCTAAGGATCAGAAGAGGACTAAAATAGATCTGGAAAACTTGCAGTGGATCAGGCCGATAGCCACCTTGAAGAATTTAAAGCCAAGATTACATAGAGGTCAAAAGGGTTGTAATCAAAACCAACTTTATTAAATCTGCAGAAAATATATACAGCAGGGAAGGCTTCAGAAAGTACCTTAGAAATCTAGATGGTAATACGGAACATAAAGAGCATAGAAGTTCTAAACTGGGTAGTAGAAAGGGTAAGCAAAGCTATTATTGTGGATTACTGTGGAAAAAATAAATATTTTTTACATATTCCTGTACCTAAAGTACCGCCTTCAATTTTACTTTGTTGTTTTTGATACAAGATGTTAATTATGATATGCTTATCAATCTAATTGTTAGAAACAATTTATTTGTTAGAAAAATATGAAATTGATTTTCATAAATATACGAAACTTCAGGGATATTTATAAAATATTTTTCGTTTCTATGGGTCCTAACGGGGATATCTAGCATTAAATATTTCATTTACTCTTTTGATATAAACGGCTACATTCTCATAAATTAGTCATAAGTTTAGAAAAGCTTCAGTATTGAAGCTAATACCGGACATATTTTAATGTAAAATGGACGCTTAAATTACTTTTTTAACAAAGCTGTAAGAACATCACAAGTTTGACATAACAAGCTATACTCTTGATATATTAGGTACAAGACCATCTAATGTCAAAAGATAGCAACTACAAATTTATATCATTCCTAAAATAAAAAATGATGATGGTTTTCGATTATATGGTAGGTTCAGTCTCTAAGTTACTAGCCTTTGTGAACATGTTACTATAGATCTAAAAGATTGCAGTAGAATAGCCAAATATATTTCATAAAATCTATTCTAATTCTAAATTTATCGTGGTGCTAGAAACTGTTACGCTCTGTTTTCATGTCATTCTGTGTTATAAATGGTTTTGAGTCGTACGGAAAACTATATAAAACTTAACATATACATTGAATGTATACAAGAATTTATACGAACATTTTTACCGTCGAATTAAATTTGCGGTTAAGCTCCATACTCACTATGCGCTGATGCGTCGAATTGATTCTTCCATCTGTTCGTCGATACGATTCGTTAGTTCGTTTGGAAATTCGTCCATTAGGTTCGTGATATTTCTTTTGATGGTACGCCTAAAAGTCGACACAAAACGACGCATTGATAAACCGTATCGACGAACCACATCGGCGCATAGTGTGTATGGGGCTGTTTTGTGTACACTGGGCTGTTTTGTTTACTTATGGGTTGAAGGTTTATTTTTATTTTCCAATTAAAAAGGGGAATTTTTAACATTAATTGAAATAACCGACAAATTTCGTTGCTATTGATTTATGTTGACATTTTTTTTAAATTCGTAAAAATACACGAAAACAAACGCTTTGTTTAAATAACGTTGTTTAAATAAAATTTCCGCAAAGCATTATTGTATTGTATCATCTACAAAAAGAGTTTATTGTACCACATTTTGTGTCGAACAAACAAAAATATATATTTTTAAATTATCTTATACAGAGTGTTCCATTTGGGTCATAATTGAGGGTTTTTAGTCGCTTATTAATGAAAAAAAAATGCCGCAAACAAAATTGTCACGGGCCCTTAGTTTCAATGCTACAAGGAATTTGGTAAAAAAATTATAATTTTTAAATGTTGCTATTTTAGGTACTTCTCGAATGTCAGTGTACTGGCCACCTGTCAAGAACGTAAAAAGGAATTTTTATACAGGGTGTTTCAAAAAACATGTGCCATCTCTCGTGGGGAGATTCCTCACATAAAAATAAAATTTATTTTTCATATCAACATAGGTCCGATTCTGCTTTCTTTCGTAGCTACAGGATGTTAAAGTCTTAATATTTATTCGATTTATTATGCTTTTCTAAATAAATCTTATTTTTACGTGAGGAATCTCCCCACGAAAGATGGAACATGTTTTCTGAAACACCCTGTAGAACAATTTACGTCAATCCAGTTACATGTAGCGTTTCTCCCATAAAACAAAAAATACAGCATTGTTTTGTATGACCTACGAGAAGTTTTAAATGTGAAATATAGAAATTATTATTTTGGTTTTTTTTTGTAGTTATTTTCGGTGAAACAGGAAGTGATCAAAAACAATTGAACACGTCAATCAATCCTAATTTGTGTCATATACTAACAAAATATACTAACCATATAATACCAAATCTCGTTTTTTTATCTGAAAAAATAAAAACGTTATGGCTTGAGCCACTTTTGAGACGCATCCGGTATGTAGCTGCATTTTTATTAAGTATTTATTTAGATTAGATATTTCATTCTGACAGTCAATTCCGGGATCCCGGGATTATACATTCTTATCCCGGCATTTCAAAACGGGATCCCGATCCTGAAAACTGAAAAACCCATTTAATGAAAAATTAACGTTAGTTAGTGTATCCAAAACGAAAATGTCAAGAAAAAACTCACTAGCCCACTGGATTACTCGTAATAATTTCTATTTCAATCACTTTTTACCTTTTTGATAATTCAGAAAATTGCGATACGACATACGTATACCTAAAACTACAATATTTTTAAAATCACCCTGTAGCATGGAAACTAAGGGAACCATAATAATTTTGTTTGTGATCCTTTGGTTTCGCAGAAAAATGCTCAGGTTCATAAAACCCGCAGGATTCTATTTTACTAATTAACAAAAAAACAGTCAAGTATAACTAAACTAGGGCACTCTGTCCAGTTTTCTGTTTTACTATATTATAACTATATACAAACTTACCTTTTTTCCTCGGATTTTATTACGTGTCTGTCTGGTATTAGATCCGAAAAATGCAATAAATTTTTCGAATTAAAATCGTAATTGTTAATCAGATATTTAAGGTCTTGCTCGTAGTAGTAAAACCAATTCTCCAGAGCGGCCTTTGTTAGTTCCACTAAATCAGAGACCGCTTGTTCAACATTGTTTTCGCTGGAAAATATTGATTGTGCTAATCAAATATCTGTAGTACTGTGTGTTTACAATTACATGATATGGGTCGACAGAGCACTAAACGAAAAAACCTGCCTTCAAACGATTCACATAAGCTTCTCTAAACGTTGACGGTGGTATACAGTTATTTTGAGATTTTTTGTAGTTATTGTATTTACATTTGTATGTTTATTGAATTACTGTGTATATAATGTTAGCTATGATATTTGAACAATTATTGACATAATTTATTTAGAATACAGTGAAGTTAAATGTTGATTTTTGTTTTGTTAATTTTGATTTTGATATGTATTGTATTTTTGATAATACAACATTTGTGTACCGGGTGGCTAACTAAGAGTAGCCCACTAATCGCCGGCTGTATCTCAGAAACTACTTATCGTATAAATTGGGAAAAAATTGTAATGAGTAAATCGGGCAAGAGAAATCGCTAGAAATTATTTTCAAGTTTTTTTTTCAAATGTTTTGAAGTTTCCAAGACCTCTGTGCAGTATTTACTACATTTATTGTTTCTTGTAAAAAATGCCTTATCGCATAATTTTTGAAAAAAAAAATTTGGAGAATTTATTTTCCTAAAACAGACCTACAAAATATACAGGGACTTTCAATATTCCGTGGACAATAGAACAACTACGTACTTTTTGGATCAAAATAAGTTAATTGCACATAATTTACCTTTATACAAAAATGCTTTGTTTGGCCATTAGAGGGCATCAATTAAAATAAACTCAAACGTTAATTAATTTTAAAAAAATTAAGCTTTTTATGAAGCTTATTCTCAAATATAATTTGTGATACTAACGTAAAAATCCTTATTTTTACCAACTAGATTATTAGAGCGTAATAGATTTTATGCGCGTCCATACCTTGATATGACAAAAAACATTTTTTTGAAGTCAGATTTGGAAATATATTTTTTTCACACTAGTAACTTTTGTAAACACTAGAAGGAAACATTTTAAGAAAAAAAATCTGTCGTCGTTGGAGTTGGAAATATTAATACTGAAATTTATGTAGGGGTGAGGATAGCCTTCACACTTTTTGTATTTTTTCTTGATTTTTGTGAAAGTCAAATATTAGTAGAGCACTTAGCAAAACATAGACACCCAACAACAACAATGTGTTTATTTTTTTTAAGTTTTATGCCCCCCAGCGGATAAACGAGGCACGTTTTGTATAGAGGTAAATTGTGTCCAATGAACTTAGTGTGATTAAAAAAATACGTAGTATTTCTATGTCCACGGAATATTGCGACACCCTGTATATCGTCACCTGAATGCAAGAAATGGGTAACTCAAAAAATGGGTAACTCGTTTTAAGGTACCTATATATAGAATTTAGTACATAAAGCGGTTATACCATTTACAGTGACTGTATACAATGATATAATCACAATGCACCAAATTTCTAAGCCCTCCTTTACATAATTCTGTACCTGAGGAGCAGTTGGGCTGAAGTCCACTTTTTTTACTAACTGTTGTTTATGGAACTTTTGAACATACCATTATCATGGCTTTCTGTAACATAAAGACTGGAGTCGAGTATATGATAAGAAAAAAGATAATAAGCAAATAGTGGACTGAGTAGTGTTCTGAATAATATCTTCTTTATTTATTAACATATGTTTATTAAATGAAGGAAATATTAGATATTCAATGTTTTTTTTTTTATACCGGGTACCCATGCAAATTTTGAACTGCCCAAATGTTAGCTCCCCCATTAATTTTACAGTTAAGTCGTAAAGATGTTTTTTAAAGATCTGCCTGTGGTGAATACACATGCCAAATTTGAGCAATTTTGGACAGTTCGATTTTAAGTAATTTAAGAAAAGCTGTATGTATCTCTAAATTAAAATTGAACAAGATAACAATGCAAAACCAATCAAATGTTAACATACCTTAATAAGTTGTCAACCTATGGTTTTATCATTGTCAAGTATAATTTGTTGTGCTATCTACACCACTACATTATAATACATACATTTAGTGTTTCCAAAATGTATTTTTGTAATTTAAATCTGGTTCGAATGTGGCAAAAACCCAATGTTTAAAAAATACAATTTGAAATTGATAAAATTATAGGATGACAACTTAATATACGTTGGTATTTGCCTGGTTTGGCATTGTTACCTGTTGAGTTTTAATTTAAAAATAGATTAAATTTTTATTAAATTACTTAAAATCGGCTTTTCCAAAATAGTTCAAATTTGGCATGTGTATTCAGCATACGCAGACCTTTTAAAAACCTATTTACAACTTCGCTGGAAAATTAACAGGGGAACCAATATCTAACTAGTTCAAAATTTGCATGCGATTTTCTATGTTTCCAACGATGATGCACCACCCTGTATAAGTAAGGCTATGTAAGGTAAATGTATGTAACAACTGCAATAATCAGTTACAGCTAAGCTACCATAAACAACGTACAAGTTATCCTACGTAGGTATTAGGTATGATATATATATTTTTTTCTTTATTGTTAGAAAAGAATATAGGTATAATATAACCTTGCTTTTGGTTCCAGGCTACAGGAACATCGAATGGAACGAACGCGGTGATGAACTTGCAGGAGAGAATCGTGCCTTGGACTAGATGCATCAGAAGAAGTTTTTGCTCCCCTCAAATAATAAAAATACATTTACCTCCATTTTCTGTCTATGGCGAACAGTATATGGGAAATTTTAAGCATCTTCAGAACAGCCAGGAAAACTTGGCCAAAATACGACCTTAAGAAATTGGGAGAGCTCATAATTAAGTCGCGTAAGGTATCGCCAGGCGGTATATACGAGACACTGGCCAATTGGTGAACATCCGGCGAGAATGGACATCCCTTTTAATGAAGTGCATATCTGTATAGGATAATCTAAATTTTTCTTCGCCGATTTATTCTGTTATCCTTGGCGTTTAGAAAAATATAGCTAAGTATTCTTCTTTTTACTTTTTTTTCTGTCAGGTCCCCCTGACGTTGGTAATCACGATGTTGAGCTGATCTCAGTCTCTGTTTTCAGACCCTCTAAACAATTGTTCGGCGCTATGTATGCCTGTCCGTTCCCGGATATTCCTCAACCATCAGATTTGTTTTCTTATTACGCTCCTGCGGCCCTCTATTTTGCCCTTCATTATAAGTTGTAGGATCCGGTAACGATTTCCTCTAAGAACATGGCCGAGGTAATGACAGCTTTCGGTATTTAACTGTTGTCAATAGTTCACGAACTGCATTTGCCCTGTTTAAGACTGCATAGACTGCATTTCTTTGCATAGCCCATGGTATTCTTAGTATTCGTCTATGTAACTACATTTCAAATGCTTTCAGACGTGTCCAGATTTCAACTCCGTATAACGGCACAGACCAGATGTAACATTTAATCATTCTTTGTCTCAGCTTTAAGTTCAGACTATCGTTACAAAACAGTGATCTCATCTTCTGGAATATTGTAGAGGCCGATTCAATCCTGCATCTAATTTCCATATCAGGGTCAAGTTGCTCGGTGATGTAGCATCCAAGGTATTTAAAATTGGATACCCCCTCAATGTTTTGTCCATTTATCTGTAGTGACGCGTTGGGGTATGGCTGGCGTCTGCAATATAATTGCTTAATTATTACCTTTCGGATGTAGTGTTTTTAACCAAAGTTTTAGTAAATAAGAAATAAAATTGCATAGTCCTTCAAATAAATATAGTGTACTATATGTAGGATTTCATGCTGAATCCAATTCTGTACAGAAAAATGGGGGGGGGGTGTCAATTAAACTTTTTTTTAGTGACACCATGTATATCAGAAAATATTTTTAGGATATGCACTATTATAAACCATGCAACATCTGTATAAAACTTTTTTTCATATCTTACTTTTTTTCTTCTTTTTTTTATTATCTTCGATAATGACGATATTGGATTTCATCGCACTAATGAGCCATCCTGTATATCTATTAATTCATTTTTTAAGAAAAGTAATACCGTATGATCGAAGAAAAACGGCGTCAGCGATGGGTATGAAATGAAAATCGGTGTCATTTTATATGTAAAATTATGTGGGGATGTTCATTTTCAAGCCCACCGGACGCCGTATTTTTCGATTATACGGTACTTTTTCTTTATATTCATATATCTGTATAAATTAACTGAATTTCATAATGATATCCGACCGCTTTAGTATTTCTTTTTAACGTATTTTTGAATTGTAAAACTTTCTTTGTGTGGTTTTGACGTAAGGAATTCCTTATAATAAAAGATAAAATGAAACTTCTCCAGGCAAAGTTTGAGAAATTTAACTATGTAAGTTGTATTACGTTTAAAATTGCAAAAAATATATTTTTTGCGCCAAGCATATAAATAAACAAAAATTTATTAACTTATTTCTTAAAGTTTCTGTCTTGTTTTTTTTTATTTTATGTTTTCCCATTAAACAATTTTAAAATTATTTTAATTTAAAAAATATCTATATTTTTGGTTAAACTTTTATTATATTCCCATAATAAAATATATAATTTTATGTGCCAATTGTTATTTTTAAACTTTTATTATATTCCCATAGTAAAATATATAATTATACTTCAGTTGGACACGTCCTCCTAGATCACCCTGTAGTAATACTTCTGTCACTGTTTTGAGCGCATGTTTAAAGAAAATGATTCACCGCCTCCCATATCACACCACTTTTGTGTCTCATTATACTTCTTGCGCTGGCACGAGCAGCAGTGTAAATTTAGCAGACAAAATTTTGTACAAAATTCGCGGAAATGGGTAAAGAAAAGAGAAGAAACTTGAAAAGAAAACTCTATACATATGAATCAAGTAAGTAAATAACCTTTAACTCCCTAATTATTTTTTTAGTTCATACAAGTAAACAAGGGTAGTAGAAATAGCTATGAGATGATCTAGGGGGTGTAGGCTATTATTCTACACCCCGCATTGCCTAAAATTATATTATTTTCTTCGGCGACGCGGCAGTAAATTGCCTGCCTTAAAACATACCATTCA